GGAAAGGAGTTAAGAGTTACAGATAACAGAAGTGCTAAACTCACAAATAAAAAAAAAAACAGTACAACAACAATCATCTTCCACAAATAATTACACAGGCTTGAAATGTCAGATTGATCACATCTTCAAAGAACAGACACTGATGGGTCTCTTCTGTATCTAGTTGCAATGCTCCAAAAATAGCAACAACACTACTACTGTGATCTGCACCAGTGTCTTCACTGTCATTGATGTTCTACTCTACTGCAGACTAGGGTTCTACAGCCATACTATTCCTTTAAAAATTATTGGTCCCCATCTCCTCTTCTGGATGCTTTCATTATCCAAGAACAAATTCCAGATCCTTATTCCTATCCAGCAAGATCACATTCAGTGCTTTACTTACTAAGAAAAGTGTTGGTGGGAAAAAAGATTTGTCTGAAATGTTCCTGTTTCAAATGAGAACTTAATTTAATTTATTGGGAAACAAATTATATTAAAGAAAACAGTTTGTGGTGAGAGGCTTAAATTACAATGAAAAGTAAAAAAGGGAAATTCCAACCCCTCCGTTTTTAGAGAAGTAGCCCCAGACCAGAATTTGCATTCATCTCACCTAATCATCAATGTCTGTGTCAAAGCTCAATATCTGAACTTGTTTTGTCACCAGTGGGAAAAATAGCAACTCAACCCAATGCAGAAATATAGGCTGGGAGTTCTCTGCAGGGAATAACTAGCTCAGGACTGGCAGCAGCACTAGTGCTGCCTTTGTCTTGAAAAATCCCAGGAGTGGAAGGCTAGGTTGGATGGGACTTTGAGAAACCCACACTAGTGGAAGGTGTCCCTGCCCCTGTCAGGGGATTGGAACTTGATCTTTAAGGCCTATTCTAATACAGACTCTTCCATGACTCTATGATTCTATGGAGATTTTACAGCCTTTCTGGGAGCTTGTGCAGTAGTTTCCAGAAAATGTTGCCTGTGTGGGTTTATAGAATTAGGCAGCTCCTCCAACCCATTTTAAGTGAGCGCTGCAGAATGAAGGAATGGCACCTCAGAGTGGGAGCCCTCCAGGGATTTTGTCAAATGTGGGTGGCCAGCATTTGATGTTTGGCAGGACAAAGCCTATCCCACTTAGGCATATTGTAGCACACTGTGAATAAAACTCAGCTCTCCTGATTTTAGATAGTGAAAAGTCTGAGTGTTGAGTTTAAGACCACCATACAGACTACGTCCTTGATCAGTAGAGAAATATTTACAGTGATTCATCCCATCCTAAAGCAGATGTCTCCAAGGTGAATTAGCTGCCTTTAGGAGATTTTCCCTTTTTATCAGCTATGGTACCCTAACCCTAACCCTAACCCTAACCCTAACCCTAACCCTAACCCTAACCCCCATGCATTTCCGGCGAAAACATGGCGGCACCATGTATTTCTGGGAACAATATGGTGTTCCCATGTATTCCCGGGTGTATAGGGTGCTGTGCGTTTTTTGTTGTTTTGAAACGCGGCGCCGCGCGCACGCGATAAAACGCTCCAAAATGCCGTGCTGTCGGTGGGAGAATAGGTGAACAATTTAGACAATAGGCATACACTCCAGATTGTAGATATTTAGGTATTTTCAAATCAGATACCCCAAAATTTAGGAACAGAAACTCCTCTTCCACCTACAGATGTGTTTACACACACATATGAATCTCCAACAAACATTACAAATCCTGCTTATCATATCATTAAAAATTATCGCACTTTAACAATGGTTTTCATCCACAGCAATAAATCTTGTGCTAAAATACTGCTCAGACCTCAATTTTCCAAAAATATCTCTCTAAAGAGTCAATAATAGGAATTAAATTCTTTGAGGTTTAATTCATATTTTCTACTTTTCCCATTTGCGGGAAAAATACCAAAGGCATAAATGGCTTTTCTTTGTAATTATTTAGGATGATGAATGAATTTTTGAAGGAATTATATTTCAGCGTGTGTAGACTGCATAGCTAAAATAATCCAGTGTGTAATGAAACCTAAACAATGCATGCTGAGATTCAGAGTTTTGTCTATATATAAACATATAATTTAACTTTTTAACATTTGAAAACTCAACCAAAGCAAATGCTTTTCTAGCAGCCTATGTCACTCAACTGGGAATAATCTAGTTAAAGAATGTGTATTTAATACAGCTAGTAAAGATTTTTTAATAGGGTCACCAAGCAAAACGACAATTTATTACAATTTTTAATGAAAATGTTGCCATCCTATTCATCTTAACTGCTCCATGACTGAATGATGTTACTGCTGCTATTTGTGGCCTCTGTCTTATTTAGTGAAGATAATGCAAAATATTTTAGTTTAGTTTAAGTAAAGCAGGACCAGTTCGTGGCTTCAGGAGTGGGAGTGGGAAAGAGAGACAATTTCAATAGTTTCAGAAAAGATGCTGGTAAAACAAGCAACATCAGCATGACTGTGACACATCTGTTGTAGGCTGGAAAAATTGTACACTATCTACCTGATAATGCTATTTTAAGGAAGAAGCTCCCAACAACATATATTTTATTACTGTAATAATTATTGTACCACTTAGTGTTCCCTTCCCTTTATGTCCAATGTTTGTTCATCTAAAATGAAGATGTCTAGGTCAAACATCATTTAAAAGATTTTAAGTTCTTCCTAAATAATTCTTCTGCCAATAGAGTACTATTTTTTTTCTGGCTAATATGGACAAATAGTCTGTGTGTAACCCTGGTCTTGGCTGGCAGTATGTAGCTTGGATTAATGACTGTTGATGGAAACAGGACATTCAGTAGCATCCCCATCACAAACCATAAAGATCTGCTCAGTGGAATGAGCAACAGAGTAAAACATTATTCCATGCAGTCATTTTAAATGGATGTAGCATTTTGGATGCTAATTTGTGGTGAGCAGTTGCCTGTATATGGTGTGACAAGCTCAGTCACTGACTACAGGACAGATCTGTGGTTATACAAAATTACTTTGTAGAGAGATGTGAAGTCCCTAGGGTTCAGCAGGCTGAACTCTTGGTTCAGACAGGTTTTCAGTGAACCCTTCACCTTGATTCTAGGCCTCTTCAATTTATTTGGCTGTAAATTAGTACTAAAGATGTATCTGCCAGCTCTCCTGACCATGCACTGACATAGAAAAACCTCAAAATATTATGTTATTATATCCCTTTGTTTCCATTATTAAATAAATATATATTTTCTGTTTTCCTGGTCTGGTAGAGTACGTATTTTTCTCTATTTTCTATGGTCAGAATAAACATCCTAACTGCAATCTCAATCTTTTAGCTCTGAACAAGATATTAAAACAAGGACAGCATTACTGTATCACAGCTACTTTTATCTCCTCCCTGCTAGGCTTTCCTGGGGGTTTACCAGAAACCTATCAAACAATACCACAGTAACTACCCCTGAGCATAGTGAAAACCAAAAGGGCTGGCTGAAAAACAGTAATTCCATCTCATGAAACACACTGAGGTTTCAAAGCCTGTTCTAACAGGAACAAAACCACTACCTCCTTTTAAATTAGGAGGGCAGAAAGAAATCTAACCCAGGGGACAAGCTGGAATATTATCTATAACCTACAGATTGGTTACTTGCCTTAGGCCAAAATAGAGCTGAACTTGACTCTCAACAAGGAGCCAGGCTGCAAAGAAGTTGACTTTAAGCTTCCTTTCTTCCAGGTAAATGCTTTTCTCTCTCTACCCTGAACCTGAGAAGCTAAATCATCAAATTTTCAGAGAATATCAATATGTTTTACAAAACTGTTTTGGTTTTTTTTTAATTAAATTGCCGTTATGGAAGAAAAGCTCTAATTGAAGCTTTGAAGCAGATACAGCTGCACACAGCAGAATAAACTGCCCCCCAGAAGTCTGGCCTCCCATTCTGCACACGGTTGTCCATGTCAAAAGCAGGTTACTGGTTTCAGTCAGACAGGTGTCAACCTTTCAGGACACATTGAATATCTGGGGCTTTTACAAGCATAAGTACTTTGGGTTGCCAACTCAGCCCTCTGCCTTTCCTTACTTCAGATTTATGGTCAGCAAACCTAGCCACAAATGAGGGCTCTTCCAGCCAGGCAAGTATTCACACCTGATGTCTCAGTACTAAAATACAGCCATACTTCCAGGCTTTAATTCTCTTTTGACCTCAGCTGCACAGGAGTTCCCAGCACTACAAATCATTGGCCCTTTTTTTGTGTATCTCTGTTTTTGCCTTTCAAAAAGCCCTGGTAAAATGGGATGACAACTGACTGTTTTACAAGGTGAAGAAGAAAGTGAGAATATAGGATTCAAATTACTCCACCTCAAAATTCTATCATGATAATAGAAATATAAAATTTACCAAGCCTTAGCTGGTTTCTTCAGGGAGGCATGTCAGGTTCATTCAGTTTTCTTCATTTTCTTTCCTAGATTGTTCCAACCAGTTTTAACCTAATCTGATATTAGGATGAAGATTTCAAAAGATACCAGACTATGTTGCCAGATACAGGAAAAAAAGATCATTGTATTGTGACTGATGATAGGCAATATGAACTCCCCAGTGCATAATAAAGTATAAGTTTGTTGTTTTGTTGTTTTTTTTTTAATGTAACTTACAGAAACATTTAGTAAAACTGAAAGTTTTAGAAACGGAAAGAATTGTGATTGGAAACTTTCACAACTGGCTATTAAAAAACTATGTAGATTTTTTGGGAAGCGTATTAGATCAAGAAGCCATGCATGTAAGGTGCTGCTACACTGAGAGTTCACAGACTGTCTGTATAAGAATCTTGGATTAAATATAAATTCTTTATCATTAACACTTAATATGGTCATAGTTTGCATCAGAAGCATATGTCCAAGAAAGCAGTGACAGCACTGAACTGCTTTGTGTTGACCTAATCACCCAATTTACAATTTTCTAAAAAAAGCAAACCAGCTATGTAATATTATTTATGTACATACTTAAGCCAGGGAAGCTGTGTGATTTCACCTTCTCTATATCTGAGACTACATCTCCTGTAATGCAGGACAGTCCACCACCTCACCAGTCCTCCTGGCTGCAGTGCAAGGCCAGAAGACAGCTCAGCTGGGGGAACAAGCCATAGTCAGGAGAAGTGGTAAGTCACACTACTTTTCTCTTAATCTATTGTCTTATTCTATTTTAACTGATGCCCTCTGGTTTTGATCAACACTTCCCATACCATTGAATTTGGACATGTTTTATCAAGCAAAAGTTCACATTTTTCTCTTGCACTTTTCATCAATAATATAATTCAACACCGACTCCAGATTTTCATCTAAACCAATTCCAGCAGCAAGCTTAAAATCTGTCATGTAAATCAGATTCCTTAGTTTTCACTCTGAGATAAGTAAAAAAAAGTTTTTCAGGATTTTGAGAAACAATTTCTCAAATGCAAATAATAATAATACAGAAATGGGATACAAGAAACAGAAAATACAATATAGTGTTCTGTTAAAATCCTCTGTTTTGTTTTTCTATAGTTTTGAACAACAATATTTGTCAGGAGAAATCTGTGAATAGATGTAGTTAATCCAAACCTTATTTTTAATTGGTCTGCTAAATACCTTGTGCTTTTATTATTAAGGAAATTAAGGGTAGGAAATATTTTTCCATCTTTTAGGGGGCTCATAAAACTTTGTAATCCACAAAGACTGACAAGAATTTATGCATATTTAATTTTTATTTAGTATTTAGGGTTTTTTTTCCCCATTCTCTAACATCATCACGTGCTTTTAACAGTTTTTAAATTATATCACATCCTAACATTAAATTGAAGTAAGTTCCTGACCATTATAGTTGTAAACACAGAATTTTCATGATCTGACGCATATTTTGGCTTTAATTTTAATATGTAAGCAAAACCTTGGTCACCTTAGTAAACTTGGATAAAGAAATAGCCACTATGCAAAACTAGGTGCATTATGCCTCAGCCTAAAGATGATTCAAATCTCTTTGTGTTCACAGTTTATCTAAAAAGCTTATTTTGTTACCTTTTGGATTGTTTTTTGTTTGTTTTTGAAATGTCCTCCTCCTATCTATGTTATGCAACAGATCAGTTGCTAATAGAAATGAGTTTGACTCAGCCAAGATGGTAGTGGAGTAGTTCACTGCTGCTGAGCTGCAGTGAAGGCTTTAGTCTCCAGGTCTCCAGTCCACTCAGACTAAGCAGATTAAAAAGGTATGTTGCTCAGGGTTGATGAAAGATGGGAAAAGGTCACACTATCTCTTCTTTCCTGTTTCTAATGTAAACACCTGATATGCAATTGATAGATTTTCAAATGAAGAGAAATACAGTGACAGGACATCACAAACTCCAAAACAACCTTCATCATCTATAACCAGGTTATGTGCAAGCTCCCGCATTTACAAGTACGCCCTTGTTTAGTGCACAGTATCAGTGCATCAGGCCTGTTTTGTAGGAGTGTCCAGTGGTGAGGTGGATTTTCCAAACTCCAGCTGAACCTTTTCAAGCAGGAGGAACCTGTGTTTTTCCTGGTTGGCAGGCCTAACATGTCCCCAAGTGCATACTTGGGGAACACCACCGGTACAGCTGTGTTGGCTGCCAGCCATCAACTGCCTAATTCACAGGAGAGGGTTGATGAGCTCTCTTGGATTCAATTTAAACATGAGCTTAATCCCAGTAAAGTCAGTGGTGCTTAAACATATACAGGAAGCTAAACATGTGTTGGCAAAACAAAGATGGTTACAGGAGAACTTAATCTTTTCTACTGCCTTCTGCTTTGGCTCCTCAACATTCAACCAGGTGGGCCAAACAATAGCTTCAGAATTTTTGGCCAACCATCCCTCTCTTGGAGAAAGTTCACATTTATTTTGTTTTCATTGCCAAATCAGAGTAGTCAAATTTTAAATGGCAAAGTACTACATGAAATGGAATTTCCTTCTGCCCACTTCTAATAATGACTTAGACTTGAGTTTAAGTAAAAGATAATTATACTTTTAGAAACTAAGTGAAGTCTGTTAACAACACTAAAGAGTCAGACTAGAAATTGTGTTGCTTCATGCTGCCCAAATGGGTAATAAAATGCTGTTATTTCCCTTTCAAAGTGCTGTGATGACTTTTTTCCCCACTCATTTATGTGGTATCCCATTTTATGTTCCCACATATGTGCACAGCAGGGTCATTCTGCTGAAATATTCTTGCCATGAAATTCCATGAAAATTCACACTTATCTACAGCATAAATATTTCTCTCATTCATAGCTAAAAATTCAGTGTTTAGTGTTCTTCTCTGATGAAAGTAAGGAGGCTTTGTGACATGAGGAGAATATATGGTTGCTGTTGGAAATGTATTGTCAGCTGAACTTTCCACCCTGATTAAGGAAATATATTTATGAATGAAGGTAGTAGAATAATATAATCACATTGCATTTCTCATCTTAACTGATTAGGTAAGTGGTCTTCAAGACCTATTCTAAACAAAATGTATATAATTGTTATCAGGCTGTTCTTGATCAGAATAATTTATTATGAGGTAGTATCAACTCCTGATCCTCATCTTTTATACCACTCAGAATTAGGTAGCTTGTGGACTGTAGCCTAATTCAACCCAGCCTTTAGGTTGTATATGAAGAATCTTTAAATTGAGAAAAATTGTTCAGATTGCTCAATTTTTTGTAGTGTGTGTTTAATCCTCCTTTTGTAGGGAGGGGAGAGAAGAAAGAGGGAAGATTGCACAACACCACTTCCCTGCAACTCAGGCCTTTTCTCTGTCTTCTTCAGCCCCACTGCTGCCAGATACTTTCCACCCCCTGAGCTGAACTAGAGTTAACCCTTCAGGACAGCACAAACCAGCTCCTACTGAAAGCACTATCATCTTTCTTTGTCATCATCTTCATCATCATCTTCAGAAAAAAACAAACAAACAACAATCCCCCTCCTGCCAACCAACCAACCAACTAACCAACCAATCAAAAATAACAAGACCTGTCCTTCCCATATTTTATATATTTTAATTTTTCCTGATTTTCACATGTATGAAGCATGTTGTTCAGATCTGTCATGTTTTTGATATTTCTTGGTGTGCATAACCAATTATTCCCTCTGATAGCACTGTTTAGCTATTCATAAGTTTAAATATTTTCCGCCCTCTTCTTCCATAAATGTCTTTCCTAAAGTCATTTCCTAACTTTAAAATCTTTTAAAAGGTTTCAGTTGGTCACATGCAATTATCCTGTAAATGATATTTTTGTATCCACTTTTGTTACATTTGCATCAAGCTATACATACAAATGCACATCTTTTGTATTTTATTATTTCATTTTAATTTATTTTATTTTATCTTATCTTGTTTTATTTTAGTTATTAAAAACCCCAACAAAATGAAATTAAAATGGAACATCTATACTGGAGAACAGCAGAGGCTATAAACTGTGGATTGGTAAGACTTTGATCTCTCCTGTGACACTTAGTACTCTACAGAAATCATTGCTTTAACAAGAGCACGATGTCATATTAAGTTCTTGCCTAATTTGTTGTGCAGGATTATCCCCCATTTCAGCACTCTCATCACACCCTCGTGTGTCCTGCCTTTTAGCAAGCATTGGTGTTGTCAGAGGTCTTTTTCCTCAATCATCCCATATGAAGCAGAGATCAGGCTGCTGGCTGGGAAAACACAGGAAGGACACAGCACTTGGTCAGATGGATCTGTGGGAAGTAATGGAAAAGACCATGTCACCTGCCAGACTTCAGCTCCCACAGCTGGAACTTCCTATTCAGCTGTTTTGGTTTTTTTTTCCTTGCAGGGGATTTGTGCAGCTAGCACAGGGTGAAAGCTAGTATAGTAGCCAGTTTTCTGACAAAGTGGATTTTATTTGGAAAGTGCTGACTCACACAAAATACAACTTTTGTACAGTGTGTGCCAGATTCAATGAAACAGTGATTGGGAAAGTGTTTTCTGCCCAAGAATGAAATTTCTTCTCAAAATTACAGACAGAGGTCTTCTCCTGAATAGCCAAAAACCTAGCTTTCAGTGTGGTCTTCTAAAATGTTGGAGGACTGGGGCTAAAACCTTGCTCCAGCCCAGGTTCTACTCACCAAGCATGAAGATTTGCAGGTCCAAAACACAGAAATTATATGATGTCTGAAAGTCAAACATCTACTTTTCTATAGTTTGTCATTATGGCCTATTTTTTGCTCAATAGGGTGCAGTAATTACTTTCATTTGATAATTTATGTAAAATTGAATTTGCGTAACTACACATGCACTTGGTTTATTTGAATTACGGGTTTATATATTGAAACTATTGATGCTGCAGTGCTAGAATGTGCTTCCTTGTTCAACACTGCAATGCAGTTAAATATGAGAATATTTATAAATAACTGGCATAATAGCAACTAGATTAGGCTACTCAAGCACTGCTCCATTTATTTGCTTTAGAGTCTTTAAAGGGATGTAAAACACACTTTGATAGAAAATAAAATCTGAATCCCCACTGTGCTTCAATAACCCCGCAGATATGTCAAACACAAAATTTCTGCTGAATGACTCCATGGCTCCTTTGCCTTTCCAGTTTGTCAAAAAGTCTCTGGAGGATATTTGTGTGTGATTATAGCCCAGAATTACAGGCTCTATGAAGGCAAACCTCTTGCTTGGCACATCACTCCAGCAGTAGTCCCAGCCCTGTGCTCTTACAGAAATTGTACCACAGTAACAGCAAAAGGAAGAGAGACTGGGAACTCTTGACCTGAAGTCCCAAGGGACAGCCTGCAAAAGCTTTTTGCTACAAGTCTGGGGTTTGTTGCATCTATTGTTGTATACACTGAATTCACTGTATTGAGTTGTGGATAAACTTTCTTCTCTAACAACCTGATGCACTAGAGATATAAACAAGATCATTTCTGTTACCTTGTGTTTGCCCATGAGCCTCACTCGACTTGATGTAGGTTGGTCCATCTCTCTTACTCAGAGAGAAGTTTATATTTGCAGAATACGAACCTTTGATGAGAATGGAGCAATCAGAATGGCTGTCTTGTGTAGGTGTTTGACCTCAGTCTTGGTGGTTTCCATTTAGACACTACCAAAAAGAAGATAAAATCTGTCTCAACCATACAGCCAATGAGGTTTAGATGTAAAACCACCACTGCCCAGCAATAATGATCTTCTGTCTATAGGCCACCTCTTATCCAGGGAGATTCCAATGATATTCACAAAACTGTGCTTGTGTTTACAAGACTTCACCCAGTGCAATGCTTAAGGTCCCTCAGGAGTGGAGATCTGCAGTTGTTTAAAAAAATGCACAGCACTATCAAGCAGTTCAGAGTGGAAGAGGTTTTCAGGCTAAGGTTGGAGCAGTAGTTTAGACTCAAGATCTATCAACTCTCCAGAAAATTTGGTTGCAGAGGTATAGCCAATTGCCAGCTTCACGAAGAACTTGGGTGGCAGTGCCTTTATCATCTGGCTTGATCTGTGTCCTGTCTCTGAAATGCAGTAAAGTAGTTCTTACAGATCGCTTGGGAGAGCCAGTTTCCTCAGAGCAGATTTAACACAGGAAAATGCTTTCTAACTTTGCTCTCAAATACCTGGTTGCAGACTGCCAGGTTTGTGTACAGACAAGATAAAACACATCTGAGGATTAAGGGAATTGCTGACAAAGTATTCCTGCTATCCTACTATAAACTGAATCTTGTAACTATACAAGTAGGACTAGTCTACTGAATTCACCAAAGGAAGGAAGAATGGGAGATTAATCCCTGGAGCTCATTCAAGCTAAGGTCCCAATTCTGCAACCGAGTTCCCTAGTGCTGGTAGGGTTTTTGCTTGCGCTTCTGTTAGCAAATGGGGACTTAGTTATTCATTTCTGTTAGAACAAAACAGAATTTGACAGTGCAAACTTTTCCTTATGCTAGAAACCTAAAAATGTGTGCCAAATATGCAAGATAAAAGGATATAATATAACTGACTCAGTATAAAAATAGTTTACAGTAAGCATACATTTTTATAACTACATATTTTTCCAGTTGATCCCACCCAATCCATTTCTTCAAATAATTGTCATTAATCAAATACAAATATAGGCCCTGTGGGTCTAACGTAGATTTAAAGCTAAGCACATGTGTAACTGTTTGTTGGTCTGGAGTCTTGGTTTCACTGTTATATTGAAAAACATTCTACAATGTTTTTTATTCCTTCCACATCCCCCTTCTTCCACCCAACAAATCAAATTACAGAGGAAGAGATCTAATCATTTTGAAAAATGTTTTTTTAAATGAAATATAGTCTCACCCTCCACACAACAAAAAAATAAAAAAACCAAAAACAAACAAAGAAACAGAAAAAACTGCTTTTTCCACTGTCAGTAGCACCAACAATCAAGTCTTGCTGTAAATCTTGCAGGTGGACAGCAGCTTCAGTCACATGCAGTGCAGCAATGGTTACAGAGAAAACAAGTTCACAAATCATTGGCTCACACAAGTCAGAGAAGGCAGGAACAAAGGTTCAGGTAGGTTGCTGCTCCCTCAGGCAGTTCCTCCAAAGACACCAGAGGTGCAGGAACCCTCTGACAAACATCCAGTGCCTGGATATGAGCTCAGAAAGAAGAGTCAATCTGTGCTCTCAGCTATCAAAACGTACCCCACGCATCTGCTATTGCTGGAAAAATGCTCATTGATTTCAGACATAAGCATGTGGCTGTGCTTTTGCACAGCTCAGTATAAAAGTGGCTTTATTCCTAAAGAAGCTTTCAGATGTATATATGTTCATATATTTAGATCAGTATGCATGCTCTGGTTCTGTATATACATACATAAGCTACATTCACATGGATACATAGAGGAAATTTTTTTCTCAAGTCACAACTACAAAGGAACAAACAAAAAGCCCAAAACCTGATAACACTTGGCACTACAACAAACCCAACCTAAGAAAGCAGAAAGAAACAACAGAGCAGAATATGGCCTTCCCCACCCATCATGAGAAGTCTGGACTATACCATCCATTACCATGGTCCCAGGCTCCTCAAACACAGCTTTTTGTGAAAGCCTCCTTTCTGCAACAGGCTCCAGCATTTCACATTCCTCTTCTCCACAAAAGAGCCTTTGGATACACAAAACCAACCAGCCCTTGTTATTTTTCTTTCCAATTCTAACATCCTGTGACACGTATTTTGTTCCCAGCTGCCCCATGACTTATTGTAGCGGGAAGATCTGCCACTTCTTAATATCCCTGTGATAAACCTCTAAAATGCAGGGAACTGCATTTTGGATATTCTGTTTGTACTGAAGTAGGCTTTTAACACTTCGGGGAAAACAAGACACCTTCATGCTACTTTAATTCAATCACACCCTTGAAGAAGGATTTGTGCAGGGAGCTTTTCAGCATAGAGTGAAGCCTCCACCTTTCCTTTTAGGGGTGTAACATCAGATTGAGAGCAGGGATACAGATTTCCAGACAAATAACAAGTGAGTTTGCAGGTTCATGTGATCTGTTTTCCACACACCTTGTGCAAACTTCAGATACTGGAATGGAAGATTAATTACTCAGGTTATGTGAGAGCAAGGAGCAAGACCCTCCATAAGAAAAAATTGTATAGAGGCTAAGGGTCAAGGTATGCTTCAAATGTTCCCAGTTATCTCTTTTACTATGTACAAAAGACAAGAGCAGAAAAGGATTTCTTAATTCCACTCTTCTTCCCCTTTCTTGTAGTAGGGGGATTTGCTTAATTCTTTACAGCTGACCCAGCCCTTCCTTTCTGACAGTCTTTGTGCAGAGTTTACGGCATGCAGCTGCAGTCCTTCTGCTCAGGGCAGGAGTGTTAACCCTTCCCCTGACAATCCTTGAACTGGTTATTATATACAGTTCATCACACCAATCTGATTTGAGACACTGCCAGATGGTTGTTATTTAGGTGAAAGCAGACCCAGAATAATAGTCAAAAACACTACAGGGTGAGTTTCTAAACTACTAATTTGTGATCAGAGCATGGAAGGAAGAAATATGTTGGCATGAAGAAGGGGCATGGATGAGATCTGTATGTTCTTTCGGCCCTTTGCCTCCTTCCTCTGGAAGAACTTCCAAACTACAGTCAAGAGCTTTTTCTTCCTTTAACTGTCTTGTTTTGGACCTTGGGTGAGTTTGTTGGGATTTTTGTTGGGGTTTTTCTTGTTGGGTTCTTTTTGGCTAATATTTTTTTTTAAATTAGTTGTTCTGGAACACAAACCTTTTTCAGGAAATACTGATATTAATGTACAGTGGAGCCAGATAAACAGAGCCAACCCCCTGCTGGCACTTCTGCATTTGAAACAGGACAAAAATTGACACCTGGAAATGCTGACATTCTGGAAAACAAATCTTACTCATTTTGAGTTCAAGTAGGGTGCTGGCAAACAAAAAGACATTGAAGTAGGAGGAATGTAGGAAAACTCGCAAAAAAACCCAACCAACAAGCCCTGAGAGGAGTGTTTAAGAACAAATAAAGAATAAGTGTGTTGAATTTGTATCACCATATTTCAGGTCCTGGAAAGAACCTGGTAGTCTCTGCTTATCTTTTCCCCCATAACAGCTCTAGAGATATTAACACTAATGCCTGAAGTAGCCTATTGAAAATGTTGGATTTATACTGGTATGCCTCAAATTAGCATGACAGTTCCTTTTAGGGTTTTGCAGCAGGTAGGCCTGGGTGAAGAAAGCCAAATCACTTCCTTCTGTGCATCTTAGTAGAGGATTTATTTCTATACTGGCATGCATACACTCTCTTACATACTGTCCTTCAGGTACTTTCTTTATTTGGGCTAGTTTATAAGCTCAAAGACTGATTTTTAAATGATAATGTGCTATAAAAGATCCATGATACCAATACAAGATCCATGATACCAATACAAAAGATGTATTACAACAATGTTTGGAAAGTGAAGGCGAATAAAAAAGTCCACAGACATTAACATATATTAGCTCAAGCAGCAGACAATTGGAATTAATTTAGTTCTTGCACTTTAATACATCATATATCTATATAAAAGAAATACCTGCAAAGCAAAAACAATTTGCAAGGAAAAACACCCAAACGGGAAAAAGCCTGCAGCACTCTGTTCACTCATATGGTGGGTGTATTTTTGTCCCATATCTCTAACATTGGTAGTTAGTGTTTGGGGATTTTTTTCCTTATTTTCTGTATTATTCTACCTATTTTGTTCTTTTTAACAGAGAAATCAAGCAAGTTTGGGTTGTTGTTTGGGAGGCTTTTCCATTGTAAGAAACAATAGAAACAGCATCACAACCACTTGGGTCCTGTCAGTGTAAATTTATGTTAGTTATTTTCAAAGACACTATCTTTTGTAAATGAGATCACATACTGCTAAGGTTTTCAGAGGCTGAGTTTTTGTGGGTCATAACACAAAAACAATCTTTCCCCTGAACCTGTTTTTCTCTATCAGGTTGTTGGCTTTCCATCTAGCTATTTATGGAAAAAGTGACCAGAATCCTCTGAGCCTGCCACTGGAGACCACTTTCCCAACTCAGTTGAAAGGTAGTTATATCTGTGAGACTGAAACTTCTGCAAGGATAGAGGCTTTGGTTTGTTTCTTAAAAGACAGGATTATAGTGGAAAATAGTGTGAGACTAAAGAAATAGCACTGGTGGTATAATCTGGCAGAAAAATAAAGGCCATCCAAACAAAAGGGTTTGCATTTCTGGAAATAAAATTTTAGTTTTGTGCCAGTACAGTCTGGATGGAGCAAAAATATGATTTACACCTTTCTAAAACCTTGAACCCAGTGCCAGATGTATGCAAGAAAAGTCAAAATCCTAAGGAGTAAATTTCTCGGTCTGACATTTCCAATGAATAACTTTGATAAATAAAACTTAATTTTTACATCTGCCATAGATTCTGTGGTATGATTAATAGTTTGAACATTGTGGCCAGTAGCCAATGTATGTATGTGATTACAGCAATCTTAAATATAGTACATTTTGAATAAATATGCCAAATAAAGATTATAAAAAACACTCCATGCATGCTTGGAAAAAATCTTGTCACGGTGTCAAATATTAAATCCTTATGAAAGTTAAATACCACAGGCATCTTTAGGCATAATCGCAGAAGCATGGGGTGCCACTGGCATCAGCTCAGCTTTGGGAGCTCAATCATAGGAACCCCATTTCTGTTAATTTTGTTCTTCACAACTAGTTTGTGATAATTTGCTATATATTGAAGTGGGGAAAAAAATGGAAAGAAAACAACCTGAACACCCCTGCTTCGCTGAAATTACCATATTCAACTGCTTGTCTTTCAGTTACCTAAAAAAAAACAGTTTTCAATTAAAAAATTATACTCTGCTAACTCAGATTCAGATTTTGTGATCAGCAGGTTTCCCTCTCCTCTTCAAGAGTGTCAGAGACTGAAATGGTTCAAGCTTTAAATATTGTTACGAAGGAGTTTTACCTATTCTAGCAAAAACTGTACAAAGAAGCTGTGAACACCAAAGCCCAGCCCTCCCTGAAGATGCCTTTGGACTGTGAGTTAAGCTGCCTAGGTAAGATAAAGGAGACACTGTTGTTCAGTCAGACCAAGAAGAACTAAGCAAGGCTGAAGGAGAAGAATGCATCCACAAGAAAGCCAAACTCAGCAGAAAATCATCCCTAGCCAGCTTTGGGGGAGGCCATAGCCCACAGAGGCCAGGTTTGCACAGGCTTCCCCCCAGCCCCCAACAAAGCAGGGAGGAGGAGAGTTTTGGGTGTGTGGAGCAACCTCTGGTCAGAGGCAGTGAACACCCATCCTCCCTTACACAAACCCATCCAGCTGTGAAACCCCACCCTTGGAAAGGCCACATCCATGGGACATTCACCTGAGAGGCAGCTGAGGGGGTGTCAGAATCCATCAAAGATCCTCCTGAGGGAGGTACCTGGGATTCCCACCTGGCCTGATACATCAATCCACTGGATTCTGTTTTTCAAGGGGACCCTCACCACCAAAAAGACCAGATGGAGAGAACCATCGGGACACTGGTGGGATCCTACGGACTGGTGATATTTTATCTGTCTCTGAGACTCTACTTCTGTCCCCCCCACCTCTTTTTCTTTCTCTCTCTCTCTCACCCACACACATTTACTGTTAAACAAAATCAATACTATTGACTTTGACATATGGTCTCATTTGCACTTTTATTCAGACAGAGGCATTTCTAATAATTTTGAGAACCAGACCATGGCAAAGGGGCATCATGTTCTCATCTGTGCTGGCAGCAGCAGGAGGATCATAGAGATCACTAAACTCCCCTGCGCTTGCACCACTTATTTAATGGAATTTTTACCAGGGAGTGTTCACTGGGATTTCAAAAGGAATACAGGTTATCCTCTAAATCTCTGCATCTGCAGGACAGGGAATTTTAATTCCTTCTCTCTCCTTAGCTTCATGCCATGGCCTCTCCTGCTTTTGCAGTTCTGCTGCTGTTGGCTTTTCCTTTAGCGCTTTTACCATGCCTCTTCTCTGCAGAGAAAAACTCTGCACCAGGGCATTGGTTTTAGGTAGAAGCAAAAGGTATATAAAGCCTTGAAATTTCAGAGCTTAACTAAGGCTTCTTCAAGCCAATCAGTCATTTTAGCCATGTGGTTTTAGAAATTTTTTCAATGAAAATTATTGGGCACCAGGTTTCAAGTGCCTGAATTCTGTAAATCTCTCTCTAAAAATTGGATAGTAGTGTTGAACTGATTTTATTTAGAATACTTTATCTATATTTACTAGAAATTTTAGACACCAAGTTCCCAATTCTGACAAACACTTCAGGGCAGAAAGCATCACCTATGTAATGGAAGCACAGTTGCAAACTTATATACCCAGGTGCCTTTGCTATTAAAGGTTGTCCTCTCCCTACCTCCGAATGGGTGAGGCTCACTTGATATAATTACATTCCTTACCTAGTTATGTTCTTAAACAATAATCACACCTAAAAAGATGGCTTTCTCTGCTCTAAGCAGTGAGTTTAGAGCCAACATTTGTATTACACAGTATTGACATCCAGTGGAGAGCCAGAATAATTACAGGTCTGCAGATAACCAAGTACTACTGTCTGGTTTACATCCTGACTTCAACTTGAACAGAGCAGCCTGCTTGCCTTAATCTATCAATACTATCTTCTTATAAATATATAACTCTTCATCTTAGTGTCTTCTCTTTGTTAAGAAAAAATAGAGTAACATTACACAAAGTCTCCTATTTCTCTGTGAAGAGATTTTTCTTCTGAGCAGAGTTTTCTTCCACTTGTATGTGCATTGTGAATTGTTGAACATCTGGTCCTGGTGTAACTGCTCAAAAGTGCAGAAGTGTCCAGCAGTAGCACATTTTGAAAAGTTGTATGTTCTCTTCCAGTGTGTGCTTCAGAGAAAAAAAAATGAGGAAAACCCAACTACTTAAGAAGATATGCGCTCTTTGCTCTTAGCTCACCAGCTAAAGGTGTTGGTGGTTTCCACAGGCTCTTGCAATTCCAAGGCCAGTGAAGGCCTTAGTCTTGGACAATACCTTGTTTGATTCATAATCAAATAGGATTGCTGGGAAGGAGACCTCTGGTTCAGATGCTCAGGTACCCTCAAGGGTAAGGGTGTGCTCCCTTACACTGTCCATGTGACTCCACCATTAGCAGCTCTCCCCAGGGATGACTTGTATAAGGTTGTGCTCACCCCAAAGCTCAAGACATTTGGTGAGATTTGTTTTTTCAAAGACTTGATAATAGATGTGAAGCATGGAGTCACTGTGCTTACGAGACCACAAACACTGCTAGCAGTGAGCCTGCCTCACTAGAGAGTCTCAGAGCAGGATCTCATCAAAGAAAAGCTACCTGCCAAGAAGAGCAGAGAGCTACTTCTACTCTGCTGTAGGGATACTGTGTGAGCTGATAGGTACAGGTTCAGGTAGCCCATGGAGGTGCATGAGAAAGGCTGCTCACAGCTAATGTCAAGCTGCTGGGCACTGCTAGCAGGCAGTATAGGCAGCATTTCTCAAATAGGTGAGGAAAGTAGTAAAAAGGGCATATCAAAATACTGTGAATCAAAATACTGTAGGATGCATGTAATACCAGAGGCACTCTGAATGTATCACCAAGACTTGAAGTGCAGATTCCCATGGAAGGTACTCACTGGGGGAGTCCTTGAAACTGAACCAAGAGAACACTTCATAACATGCTGATTGGCCCAAAACCACTGTTCTTTGAAATAAGGCCAAGTCTACAAGATCCTTTGCATGACAGAGGGTGTAATATGTATCTATATTTATAGGTGAGTGTAAAAGGTCACTCTTTTTGTGAAATTCAAGTAATACCACCAGATATTTTCACTTGTTACAGTGTACACGCTGCAGTTCAGTTCTCATGCAGTCATCTGTGGGTTAGATTACAGCTTTCAGTTAATAATTTGTTTTTAGCTTTTGCAAATGAATTGCCAATAATTTAATTGTTCCATCTACCCTTTACCTTAACATTTCTTGTTGTCACACAGAATTAGTCCCTACTCTTAATTATGTCTACATTTTCTGCAAGAGAAAATAGTTCAATTTAATCTAATATATTCATTATTTGTTGCATAATTGCTGTTGGTTTTCCCAGTTTTTCTTGTAACTGTTCTGACTGCTATTGACTTCTCCCATTTAGTAGATTTCCCTGGGATACTTCAAAGTGCACATGACAAGAAAATGCCCTAAAAAGACCTGTGTTAATAGAATTTCAGGTCTCTGATTAATTTGTCACATTTTGATGGAAAATTTGCCCAAAATTGCAGGGTTTGTAAAACATGTAAATGAAAATTAATGCAAGAGACTGTTTTTAAAAACACTGAAATATTTGAGAAAGGAAGAATAGAAAGCCACAAAGGTTTGTTTTTTTTAATTTCAGAAACTGATTATAACTGTTACAATATATGTACAAAATGCTAGCAAATTTTTGTGAAATACACACTAGTTAACTATTAGAAACATACAGAGGTCTGACCACCACAAGAGGTCTGTATTGCTCATTACAGACCCAGGCTGCAAAGCTGTCCACCACAATGAATTTTCCTACATGCTTTGCTTATTTTTCTAATCCTTCTTCATCAGCCCTGCAGTGTGCCAGAGATTCTGACTGAGGGTTTCTCAGTGGAAGAGACAATAACTGTTTGCATTATGAGAAACCTTTATCTCAGCCAGCATCTGCACTGATACTGCAGCAGCATGGCTGAAGAACAGGAGACCCTGTCTGCTCCCTCACTTTGGAGAGCTGTTAGATATTAGCAGCACTGCAGTACTAAAAAGCCCTATGTCTGGTTTTGAGATGTTTCAAATATGAGAGGCCATATTCAGCTCTTTATCTCAAGCCACTGAAAAAATATATGTTTGCTTTTGCTTTTTTAATAGTAGACTTGAATCCCATTGTCTTTGCAGTTAAATATATACCCATGACAAAAAAAAAAAAAATCCTGCTTGAGTCTATGCAGTAAGTTTAAAGCAAAGTGCACAGATTGACACAGTGAGAACTGCCTCTTTACTTTAAAGCCTGAGCTTGTATAACCATTGGGATTGCATGCTTAGGACTGGGGGGGTCTATTCTGTAACCAATATTTATGTATTTCTTAACCTCTTGGCAGTTGTCAGAGTTGTATATGTCAATATAATCTAAATAAACCTAGGAACTCACCCTTTTGTTCCCCTTTTAAACAATCATTATCATAATTAATAATTTACTGCTTTGAGTCAAATGTGAGAGTTGTAAGGAATCACAGGACTTTACTTGGTGAAGACAAAGCATCACAAATAACTTCCCAATTCTATGTATAAAAATTTCACAGTGGATTCCTATGTCGAGTAGAGACTTGCTCACAAAATCTAAATTCTAAAGTATCTCATAGTCATTCAGAAACTCAGTTTAACCCTAGACACTGTGGAAGTGTTGTATAGTTTCTGGTTATAGTGCCTCTCTTGTGTCCACTCATCTTCTTTTCAATTCTTATGAGACTAAATTAATTCCCTAGCACAATTCCCCTAGGATTCCTCAGAGCTAGAGAGAGTTTGTTCACAATGCTGCAGAGAGGTTTTGTTCACTGTAGTTCCTTATCCCCTTGAAACTCCTCCAACCTGTCTTGGACTTCAGAATTTTAAAGCACTTCACCAAAAAGAAGAAATTGAAGATTGTGTTATTGACTTCTCTTAGTCTTATAAATCCTGATGTTTGATCAATGCTTAGCCTATTTTTTTCTTTCATGAGTCATACATTTAAAGTACCAGAAAAAAAGTATTATTTTATTCCACTGTTGTTCTGCCAGACTGTTAGAAGTTTTCAGAGTGTCTATGAAATGTATATGCCACCATCTCTACACACAGAGAACGGTTCGAGACACAGTCAGATAGCCTATCTGATATAGCTAAAATAATCAAAAGTCAGGCTTCACTTAGAGACCATACAGGCAATGCAGCTTTTCCTCTGGGGACTTCTCTTAAAGAACAGATGAAATTATATCCATAAACATAGGAAATTGTCTCTAAGTCCTCACAATATGAAAATACTTCCTTGCCGCACCTGTCACTTTTGAGCCTCTGGTCTTTTGCTGCTAAAAGAAGTCCTTTCAGGATTAACTATATTTTTCAGGATAAAGCCTCTTGACTAGGTCTATTCTAATAAACAAGAAACAGGCAGGGCACGCCTTACAGCCTGGTTCACAACTGTGATGAGACAAGCAGCACACTCCCATCTCTTTCTGTCCGGTGCCTATTAGTGCTGCCCCAGGCAGCTCCAGCCTGATGCCTACCAGAGACCTGTCCTGCAAAGCTGCCTGACATTGCTGTTTTGAGACAGCATGGAGTTTGGGGCTGTGGTTGGCATCAATGCCATGCCTTTAGTACAGAGAGTGATCTCTGCCTGCCTTTGGTTGGTGGCCTAGGCACTGCCTTTCAGACAACACCAAAATATTTATTAGAAGTTACAAGAGAATACATGATGTTCTTCAGATGGGCACACAGCCTGAAGAAGGGGGACACTGCAATGCCAGTCTCACCTTTTCCTTTTTATAACAGAAAGTGTGGGAGATGGTTTTCAACAGATTTGATTACAGCAATCAAATTGGTTTACATGAAAGTGACCCACTCCCAACATGTACCAATTTCTCTGCATGCAGAGGGGAAATAACTTAGTTTTTGACACCAAGCTAGACACAACTAGAAAAGGATCTCTGGAGTTTGAAGCTCCTTTTTTGTTGAAGTAAGGAAGGAAATCCTAGCATTGATGTTGGTATAAATCTTTTGTAGCAGTTTAGTGATGGCACAACTGTTCACTCAGTGGGCCAAGACTTGAGGCTTGATGGTATTGTGATCTTGTTCCGCTTACTTGCTCAAAGCAGCCTACTAATTTATTAGAGTGAGTGGAGTGAGGAAAAG